CAAATTCCGAATTCGAATTCAATTCGGATTGAATTCGGTAAACACGAATTGACCGAATTGACCGAATTCCTGAAGCAATTGCAGCCTGTTTTGCTTTGTATAATAAAATAATTTCTAGCAATAAAATAAGTGCTGTTCACAATTATCATTCATAAAGCTGCACCAAAATAATCAAAAAATAGAAGTAGTAATCACGTCCATAGGCACAATAGCCAGATGATTGCACTACCAAATCACAACATATAAAACCTCTTCCCAGTAGCTAACGCCTACCAGTTCAAAACAGCATTACTTAAGAAATCACAAATCCAAACAGAATCTAGAAAACTTCAAAATTACTAACTATCCCAAACTTCATACATATCCAGAAATGACAAATCCACAAATCCAGAAATCATAAATCCACAATCAGAAATTACAGAAATCAATCCAGAAATCATAAAGGTCAATTATCTAGAAACAATCCACAATCCACAAGAACAAACAATTATAGGTGGTTCAACTCTCAAACTTCAGCATTTGTGACCTCTCAAAGGTCAATTACAGTTGATTCAGTTCCGGTCTTCAGCAACTCTGCAAGAACAAACAAAATTCATGAAGTATCATAAAGGCAATTATTAGAAATAAAGAAATACTTCAAATTTTGCAATAAAAATTTTGATAGCATACCAGATTCGAAGGCTTCAAGTTCTTCCAGATTTTCTTCTACATTTAATTCTGTCTTGGAGGACCGAAACCAATCTTGAGCACATATTAAACTTTGCACAATTCTAGGAGTCAAAGAACTCCTAAATGTATCAAGAACACGACCTCCGGTACTAAAAGCAGATTCGGAGGCCACAGTAGAAATTGGGACTGCTAACACATCACGAGCAAGTTTTGAAAGGATTGGGAATCTAAGGCTATTGGCCTTCCACCATAACAAGATATCAAATCTCTCATCATCTTCCTCACAATCCTCATTCAAATATTTCTCTAATTCAGATTTTGCATCCCTACCCCCAAGTTCCATTTTTCTCTTCTTAAACTCCAACTTGTACCGATCAGTGATTGTTTTAGAGGCATTCCCATGTCCATAAAATGTAGTTTTACTCCTTTGAGATTCACTTGAAAGTGAAGAAACATGAGACACAGAATTTGAGGCAGGTGTGTTGAGCATCTTGTATTCATTAAACAGCTCAAACATTGCATCTTTTGCAAGGCCAGCTATTGTTGTACCATCGGACTCACCATACATTTGGCAAACCACAAATTCAAGGTATTCAAGTTTAGTTCGAGGATCAAGCATGGAGGAAATAAAAATCAGCATATTCATCTTTTCAATCTTTCCCCAATACTTATCATATTTCTCCTTCATTGATCTTGCCATTGAACTTAATTCTTCATTATCACTTGCTGCCATTTCAATTAAAATGCCATGTATGTGACTAATATCAGTGAAAAAATTATTTGAAGTCACATATTTGGAACCAGAAACCTTCACAGTTAGCTGATAAAAGTTCTCCAAAAAAATTACCAAGAATCTAGCTTTTGTCCAATCAGATTTTGTTGGCAGATTTTCTAACTCTTGAAGCATGTAAGGATCCTGCTCCTCGAACCTCTCAAAAGCCCGCTCAAACCTTTGAGCCGTGTCTAGCATTAGATATGTAGAATTCCACCTAGTAGAGACATCTAAACAGAGCAATCTTTTGCATTCAATTTTTTCAATTTCCACACATTCCTTGAATTTTTTCAATCTAGAAGGTGACTGTCTAACATATCTAACTGCTGCCCTGATACAATCAACTGATTCCCCCAGTTTTTTGATGCCATCATTAACAATTAGATTCACTATGTGAGCTACACATCTCACATGAGTCCATTTCCCCCCTAACACAGCTTTCCCCCAATTTTGAAGTTTTCCTCGTAAATAGCTGACAGCTACATCATTGGAACTTGCATTGTCAACTGTAACAGTTAGGATATCATCAACTCCCCATTCTAGTAGACACTTTTCTATGGCCTTACCAACTTCAGTTCCCTTGTGACTAGCAATAGGACAGAAATTTAGGATCTTTTTGTTCAGTTTCCAATCATTATCTATGAAATGGGCAGTGAGGCACATATAGTTTATCCTTTGAATGGATGTCCAAGAATCTGTGGTTAGACAAATTTTGCCACTGTTATTCTTCAAGAGATGTTTCAACTTAATTTTTTCATCTAAATACAGCTGATAGCAATCTCTAGAAATAGTCCACCTCGAAGGAATTCTAAATGATGGACAAGCAGTCCGCATCATGTATTGAAAACCTCTACCCTCTACATGTTTAAATGGCAATTCATCAACAATTACCATATAAGCTATGCTTTTTCTAATGGCTTCCGCATCAAATTTCCAACTTATGAGTGCCCCTTTAACCTCTCCCTCTAATGTTTCAGTTTCACCCAAACACAAAGTAGCCTGGCCAGTGTGCTTATTTTTAGGATTTAGAGGACATTTAGCTACATGAGTATTAAGGGGAGTCGTACCATGACTTTTGGGATCCGCGGCTATGTCCTTCTCACAGTATTTGCAAATTGCATGACGAACTCCATTCACATGCTTTACATGAAAATGATCCCAAGCTTTGGACCTCTTCTTGTACTCTCCTCTTTTCTTGCCAAAACCAGATTCTTCACAGCTTTGTGTTGTAGGACTAGGAAGAAGACCTCTAGATGATCCTTCTTGTTCTAACTCATTGTGACTTGGATTACTCTCACCCTCATTAGTAGTAGACATACCTTAAGTTTTGCGAGAATCTGAGCAAATAAATTATACAATTTAGTGCAACAATCATTTAGCAATAAAATTGAAATAAAAGACTAGATGAAATTGAAGAACCAACTCAGGACAACATTCAATGAACGCTGAGAAAATCAACTAGAGACACAATGAGTGCTGTCTGGGAATGTTTTTACTAAGACCACAAAGTCCCACGCACAAACAAAAGCATTAGTAATTAATCTAACATCGAAATTCCAATTATATGATAAAGCTGCATAATTACAAGGTCACTCCCATACAAGCAACAGTATGCTCTTGACTCCTAGTCATTTAAGTGGGCATCAATCATCTTCATCCTAAGCAGCATTGCAATCGTAAGCAGTAACATCAGTTGCTACTGGTAAATTTGAAGCTTAATGATAGCCTAGAATAATGTTTACTTTTCTCCTTTCAGATAATCGAAGACAATGGGTATTGGAGTATGTATTCTAGTGGCCAGATAATTGGCACATGTGATAATCTGTACAAAAGACTTCCCACTAATGCCATGACAAAACAGAGGCCAAAACCTCAAAAAAAATATATGGAACAGATCTAAAGCTTTAAATGAAGAAATGAACCAATTTCGACATTGACTTGAGTTCAACAGTCTATCCATTTTGGCAATTCACACGAATAAAACGTCCACGGTCACTTAATACCAGGCAATGTTTCCATTAACAATAATACCTGACAGGACAAAAAATCCAGGAATCAACATTAGATGATTTGTAAATGCAAAGATTAAGAAGAAGAGAGGGAGAACCGGCTCAAGTTTGCTGCACTAGAAGAAGAATGAAACTGATCCAAGTTTGCTCAAGTTTGTACCGGCTCAACTACTCTTATCCAATTCAAAAACTCATAACTTTTATCAAGATTCAATCAGGAAGGAAATTGAGCATCAAACATCATACAAGTTCCACTGAAATTAAATTAGCCCATATAAAAAAACTAGCAAATTAAACAACGACATCCAGAATCAAATACCAAAAGAAAAAAAAAACACCAAATGAAAATCCAATTATTGAGTCTTTTTCATAAACCCATTTACCTGATAGGCTTATCCAAGGCTTCACTGGAATCAGCACTAGCGAACTGTGGTCCTGGACCTCCTGGTGATAGTGGATGCTCCGCTCGGTCAGCAATGGTGAAACCTCGGTCAGAATGGGAAACGGAGAAAGAGTGGACTGAGCAGAGGAGAGGAAAGGACAGAGGACTGACTGAGGAGAGGACTGAGCAGAATGAGGAGAGGAGAAGAAACGAGAGAAAGAGGGGAACTGAGGAAGATGGGACTGCGCCGCGGGCCGCGGCAGTGCAGAGGAGCGAGAGGAAGAGGGGACGAAGAGCGGAATTAGGGCACCACGTCTGAAAATCTGAAATTGGACCAATATGAATATCGGACATAATGAACTATTTCCTATGTAACTTAATTCGGGAATTTCGAAATTGAAAACGGTATATTATTACCGCTTTACCGAAATGAATTCGAATTCGGTATATCCGAATTCAAAAACTATAAAATCGTTTTCGAACCTAATTCGATTTCAACTTGTACTATATCCCCGATTTACCGACCGAATTACCGAATTACCAAATTCGATTTACCAAATTGAAATCGATTTCGGTCGGTAAATCGGTATTTACCGTAATTGCTCACCCCTAATTATTAATATTGAAGATTGATGATTCTTGAAGATTGTGCTCCTTCATGTGTTGTAGAAGGTTGAGGTTGTTGAAACATTTGAGGTTGTTGAAACTGTCATGGCATGGCTAGGGGAGGAAAATGAAGACAGCTTCTTGATTTATGCCTAGTCAATGCATTATGCCATGTTTGCTGGATTTGAGAATGTCTATATAGTGTACATTTTTCTCATTTATATGCCCTTTTTGGAAGTTATGTATCAGAGTAGATATTTCTAACTTTATGATTTAGTGTGGAACTACTGCTACTGATCATTTTTGAGATTTGAATATGCTTTGTCTTTGTCTAGTTTGAATGATGTTGTTGCCTTTTTTTTTTTTGTTGAATGATGCTATCGTCCAGCAGGTTCATCTTATGTCTTATGAGTTTGCAAAATTTGCATTCTTTAAATAGGGGCGGGTACCCTATGACCCGCCCCTATTTTTCGGGTATCCGAGGATCGGGTACCCGAGGAAGTTCGGAGCGGATTAGGGTCAAAAAAATAGTGACCCGATATGTTAGGGTCGGGTCAGCCAATTAGCATTCGGGGCGGGTACCCGACCCGTGGCCACCCCTACTTATCATTCTTATTTGCTCTAGAGCCTGTAAAGCATTAACTAACTCTGCCAAGGATATGCTTGACAGATCTTTAGACTCTTCCAAAGAAGAAATTTTAGACTCATATTTCTCAGGCAAAGTGACAAGAATTTTTTGGACGATCCTCTCATCAGAAAAGTCCTTACCGAGCAGTCTCACCTTGTTAACAATGCCTAGCAGCTTGTCAGAGTAGTCTTTAATCGTTTCTGACTCCTTCATCTTCACCATCTCGAACTCTCTGATTAGGTTGAGCACTTGCATATTCTTCATTCTTTCATTGCCCTGGTACTCTTTCTTGAGATAGTCCCATATGTCTTTGGCTGATTCCAGATTCATGATCCTGGTAAATATGTTGCTTGAAACGGCAGAGAAAAGATATGCTTTAGCCTTTGACTTCCTTGTTTTTCTATCCTTATGATTCTTCATTTGTGCCACCGTTGGATTTGCTGGTAGCAGTGGAACATCATAATCTTCTTCTATAGCCTCCCAAAGATCTAATGCCTCAAGGTGGACTGTCATCCTAACAGCCCATGCTTGATAATTTTGGCCATCAAAAACTGGTGGATTAACATGATTGAAGAGTGATTGTGTATCAGCCTCCATTCTGAAAGTTTTTGTTTATATCACTCAATCTTATAGGTCCCTCAAAATAAAAGCTCTGATACCAATTTGTAGTTCAGCTTTTGGGAAGCACAAAACTACTTCTTTATTGCTGAATATATATAGGGAAAAATATAACAACCATGTTCCCATGACTTCTAAGCATAACCCACTACATAATAACAACTCCTAAACATATGCAACTGATTTCCTAAAACAAGCAACAAATAAAACATTCCTAAAGACTCGTTCTGCAGACTAAGGCACATGTGCACATCTCTAACAGTTTCAAATTCTTGGATGTCTTGTGACTCTCTGCTGTTTGCAAGTAATAATCGGTTATTGTGCTAACGTAAATTGTGGCTACCACCTTCACAATATTGAATGTTTGGTAATTTATCTGGATCCATCCTGTCCTCCTGCATTTTATACCTGTCTCAGATTCCTTCATTAGATTCAAGAGTAGAGCTTTAAACTTTCAGGCCCTTATTATCTCCTAGCTCAACTGTTTCAATCCGTCATTGATTCCTTTACTTTCATGCAAATAGCTTGCAAGCAATCAATGGAGGACAGAATCATTGAGTTTGAGGATGCAGCTGAGACAGTACTGGGCCTTCTTGGCGTACCAAACCTAGACCCAGGCAGGTCCGACAGAAAGAGAAAGAGGCAGAGCAACATGGTGACGAAAACCCACTTGAAATAGTGTCGATTCATGGAATTCTTGGACTCGGGAAGACAACGCTTGCTAGAAAGGTTCTGAATAACCCTCAAGTTGAATATCATTTTGTCACTCGCATATTTGTTAGTGTTTCGAAGGATTACAACAAGAAAGAAGTGCTTCTTAGTATACTAAGTACCTTCATCAAGGACATTAGGGATCGTAACATGTCGGTGCAAGAATTAGTTGCTGAGGTCCGAGAGACACTGAAGTACAAGTATTTGATTGTCATGGACGATGTTTGGAATACAAAAGCATGGGAAGATCTCAAGGATGCTTTTCCAGATCATAACAAGGGCAGTAGGGTGTTGATAACTACTCGACAAGAGTCTGTGGCCAAGCGTGTTGCAACAAAGACTGATCCCTATCCATGGCAATTATGCAGCAAGAAGAAGCTGAAGAATTACTGAGGACGAAGGTTTTCAATGAAAATGAATGTCCAGATAAGCTGCGACCTGCTGAATCAAGAATTTTGAAAAAATGTGGCGGGCTACCATTAGCAATATTGGTAACAACAGGAATTCTGAGGAATGATCCAGAAAACGAGAAGTGGTGGGAGAATATGGCTCAAAAATCACTTAGTATGGATGAGTTATATAGTGATAGCTAGAAACAATTAGTGGATGATTTAATAAGGCGGAGTTATGATAACTTGCTTCATGTGTACAAGTCATGTTTTCTCTACCTTAGTGTCTTCCCTGAAGACTTGGAGATCCAAGTTTCAAAATTGTTTCAATTGTTCGATAGCGGAAGGCTTCATTCCCCAAATTGATCGAGAAAGCATGGAGGAAACTGCAGAGCGATATTTGCGGGAATTGGTTGATAGGAACTTAGGGCTTGTTTGGAACTTGAGTTTTTTGGGAGTTTGATTAAAACTTTACCGTAGTGCACTGTAGAAGTTTTTGAAAAAATTTTGTAGAAGTTTTTGTAAGGTGAAAAAATTTTTTGTAGAAGTTTTTGTAAGATAAAAAATTTTGTAAAAGTTTTTGTAAGGTGAATTTTTTTTTCCTTTTCTTTTTTTTTTCTTTCTTTTTTCTTTTTTTCTTTTTTTCAATTTTCTTTTCTTTTCTTTCCTCTCTTTCTTCTTCTTTTTCTTCCTTCCCCTCCCGCACCCTTCTCCTCCCTTTCCCCTTCTCCTCTCCTCTGCATTTCCCCCGTCACCCCTTCCCCCGCCAACCCCTCTGCCCCTTCCCCCTCCTCTCTGCAAGCAACCCCCTCCCCCTGATAGGGTATAATTTGTTAGTAATTTTATTATTAATTTCCCCTTTTATCCCTGATAAATATTGTGTTAATTGCTGATATCTACTCATATTTGGTATCTGGACTTAATTTCAGGAATGAAACAGAAAACTACCAAAAAGGAGGGATTTTATGAAGAATATGGAGACTTCTAAGGGCTTCAATCCTTGGGCCCTTGGATTGGTAGGGACCACAAAGTTATAAGTCATTTGGGCTCTTCAAAGAAAGCTACGAAAAAGAGACTTGGAACAAGAAGTACTTTGGAGGCTTTGTCCACATGTGTGGGGACCACCTAGATAACTTTAGTCTATCTTTCTTTTGTTTCTTAAATAGGGAGAACATCGGGCCCTTGACATCCAATTAACAAAATAATCCCATGAAAATTAAATCAGACAACATGCAAATATTAATAGATAAAGGAACACGTGAAAACTAATTAGATCTCACAGATTTGCGGGACTGCGCCGTCGAGTTGACCCTTGACTAGATGGAAGACTTAGCCACGCCGCATAATTAAATCACCATACGGATTAATAGATTGCAAAGGCATTGCGTTTTCTATTAAGAAGCAAGGAATAAAATGTGGTTTTCCCGTTGGGGAATATCGTCGAACACCTGGCGTGTGTCAGAGGCCAGTCAGGAGAAAGAAAAACTAAAACTAAACTAAAAGACTAAAAACTAGAGATGTCTTCTTTCCCTACGTTCTCCCTATTTAAGAAACAAAAGAAAGATAGACTAAAGCTATCTAGGTGGTCCCCACACATGTGGACAAGTTGTAAGGTGAAAAACTTTTTTGTAGAAGTTTTTGTAAGATAAAAAATTTTGTAAAAGTTTTTGTAAGGTGAATTTTTTTTTCCTTTTTTTTTTTCTTTTTTCAATTTTCTTTTTTTTCTTTCCTCTCTTTCTTCTTCTTTTTCTTCCTTCCCCCTCCCGCCACCCTTCTCCTCCCTTTCCCCTTCCCCTTCCCCTTCCCCCGTTGCCTTGCCACCCCCTCCTCCCGCCACCTCCTCTGCCCCTTCCCCCCCCTTTGCACACCATCCCCCTCCCGTTTCCCCCTCCCTGTTCCCCTTCCCGTTTCCCGTTTCCCGCCACCCCCTTCCCTGTTCCCCTGTTCCCCCGTCAGCCGTAGCGTTGGCGGGACTGGAGGGAGAAAGAAAAACCAGAGCAGGAGGAAAGTAACTGTTGCTGCTGCATAGGTCGGGGGAGTTTGGCCAAGGAGGGAAGGGGGAGAGGGGAGGGAAGGAGAGAGGGAGGGAGTAAGGAAGAAAAAAAATTTTAGGAACGCCGGTGCCGGAATAGGTGGCCGGTGTCGGAAACGGCGGTGGAGGTAGTGGCCGGCGATGAAGGTATGGTGGATGGGGTGGGGGAGAAAGAAGAAGAAAGATAGAAGTTTTTTGTGTATTAGATATTTTGAAGTGTGTAAATTAAAAAATTTGATAATTTTTTTGAGTTCCTGTAACTAAAATTGTTAAAAAACTTGTAACTAAAAAATTTGGCCAAAAAACTCACTTCCAAACAGGCCCTTAGTGATGGTGAGGCAGAGAACCTTAAGTGGTCGGATTAAGACGTGTTTAGTCCATGATACGCTGCGTGACTTCTGCAAAAGGACAGCCAAAGCTGAAAATTTTTTCCAAGAATGTGACGTGGGGACGGTTTCATCTTCCAACCGTCGCCTTTGCTGCATTAACTCACACTTCGCGAGCTACGTTTCCAATCAACAGCCTGCTCAGAAAGTCCGTTAATTCTTGAGCTTTGGCCTGGAAGAAACAACATTGAACCGCATCTCTGCTCAGATGTATTTAAGCAGTTCAAACTACTCCGAGTGTTGGATATCTTGTCCACCAAGCTCCCTGGAACTCGTTTTCCCACCCAACTGCTTAACCTTGTTCTGCTAAAGTTTATTGCCATCTGTTGCGAGCTAACAGTCCTTCCCAGAAAAATATCTAGCTTGCTTAACTTGCAAACTCTTGTAGTTCACATCACATCCTCCACTCTTGACAAAGCTAAGGTGTCTATATACTAATACCTCCACAATCTTGCCTAAATGTCTGGAGCAATCTCCTGGCGATGAAAGCCTACAAACTCTATCTATCGTTTCACCTGAAAGTCTTACAAAAGATGTGTTTAAAAGGGCTAGAAACCTTAAAAAGCTTGGAATATGTGGGAAGTTAAACAATCTTATGGAAGCCAATGGTGAGTCTAGTTTGTTTGATTGTCTTTGCGAACTGAACTCTCTTGAAAATTTGAAGCTATACTGTGATGATGTGAGCTCCAAGCTGCTTGCCCTTCCTCAGGCACACAAGTTCCCACCAAGGCTGACAAGGCTGAGCCTGCATAACACAAGTCTAAATTGGGACTACATGTCTATACTCGGAAATCTTTGGTATCTTGAGGTTCTCAAGCTGAAGGACTATGCCTTCAAGGGAGATTATTGGAAGACAAAACAAGGGGGTTTTTCCTTCTCTGAAAGTTTTCTCCATTGGAGCCACAGATTTAAACGCGTTGGGATGCTAAATCCAATGACTTCCCAGAACTCAGATGCCTTATTCTCAAGCAGTGCAAAACACTTGAGCGGATCCTATCTGACTTTGTGCACATGAAAAGCCTCGAGATGATCAAAGTTGAGCATACCAAGGATTCGGCATTTTCATCTGCAAGGAGAATTGTGCAACTACAATTGGAAGTGCTTTTGCATCAAAAGAGTAAAAAGACTAGCCCAGTTAAGCTCATAGTTTATCCACCAGAGTATTGAACACCAAGCAAACTGCAATATAAGTGCTTCTTTAACAGGTTAGTAAACTTGTTTCTGACTCCCACTTCTGAATCTTAATCCATCATCTTTTACAAACTTGAGACAATGTATTTTGCAAGATTTCATGCTTGCTAGTTTTCGTCTTCTGCTCCCCGAATGAATTCGTAATGTGGAGACGCTGAAGCTTCTATCTCGATCTTTCGTTTTTCTTCTCTATTCTGCAGTATTAAAGGCCTAGTACCTGGCTCTGGGCAACAACATTCAGCTGCTATGATTTCTTTGCATTGTTTTTTGTTTCAGTATCTTTGAAAATGTCAAATTTTCTTTTGAGCAATTGTTGTGATAGAAATAAGGCCTTAAAGCTTCTGGCAAATTCAGTAATAGAAAAATAAGGTATAAGATATTCTCTTTCTGCCAGGAAACTCTATCTGCATTAAATCAAGAGTCTTGTACATTTCTTCCTGTTAGAGGTTAGTTTTTTACCTCCTCATCTTGTTTCCTTGTATTGTTAAGTTTATGTGAATCTTGCTCTGATGTATTGTACCCTTCCTTGTGTTAATTGATGAAATTGGTATAGTTTTTCTTTGGAAACGAAGGAAGGACCACGACCTAGTAAAGTTGCTTTCCAGCTTCAAGTTTCCCTTGTCTTGCTCCTCAGGCTGAAACGTGTTGCCTTCAATTTGTATTACTTTGAAGCCTAGTATAAAGGAGTCATGGTGATGAGAATTTTGTTAAAAGCTTTTATTTAGTACTATTGATCAGTTGCAATGAATCACCAATGGCTACGTCTATACCAATATCCATAGCTCTGTACTTAATTCTATTGATCAGACTTATATTGCTTATCATTTCTTTTTTTATTTATGTAAATTCCTAATCTTTTATTGATTCAGAGAAGAATTTACACTGTAGAAAGGATTGCCCCTTAATCGAATACATCAAATCAAGAAAATCTAAAGAAACCGAGAACAAGCCTATGTTTTGTTAGGGAAACCATAATCTTGTACTTTGTTCCTCCTAGATGGTTTCTATAACTGTCTTTGTGATCAGTCATATTTTCATGATAGCGTCCAGCAAAGGTACTACAATATTGAAAAATGTATTGACATCTATTGATTCTTTTAGACAGACTGTAAAGTAAGTTCGTTCATAAATTCTTTGGGCAATAAAAAGGGTGCAACATTAGTAAACGAGATCAAGGAAGAATGGGAGCTGATTTAGGGCCCATTTGCTCTACCAATTTTTTATGTGATATTTGAGGAATTTTGGACAAATAATTTCAGTGAACTATCTTTCAAGTATTTCACGTTTGCCTTTTTTCAAGAATAGAGAAGTCTGCTGTGTTTGCTTAATATTGTTTGGAAAAGTACTCGATCATACTAGACATGGAAACATAGCAGACTGTGTTAATTGGAAAAA